CCATAGGTGACAGGGCGTCGTAGTTTAGGATCAATGTAGGGTTGAGTGAGTCCGAGGTCTCGCCGAAGGGCCGCTGCTTCCTCGGGCGGGCGTAGCACGCGGGCTTTCGAATACTGCAGCCACAGACGGTCAGCCTCCAGAAGTGCGCCATGAAGCGCCACCGGCGCAGAGCCGCCTGAATGCCAGGACAGGAGGCCCTGTCTGTAGGAGACCACGTTGCCGCGCCCCGCAGGGTAGAGCGGGCAGAGCAGATGTCGGAGAGCGAGCTCGAGCGAGAGATGTCAGAGGGCGGGCCGCCGAACTTGACATACTGCGCAGCGATGTAGCCGAGCGACCGCTGCTGCAAAACTGCGGGGCGCTTCCGTATCGGCGGCGACCCGCCCCCGCCAAGCCAGTTGAGCGCCCTGATACCATCGCTGGCCCAGCCAACCCGAGCCAGAGCACCGGCGCGACCGCCGGCATCGCGGGGGGCGCCACGAGGAAGAAGTGAAAGAGGGAGAACTTTTCGCTGACGACTGACGGCCACGGCGTGGGGACCACGACGTCAGGAGCGAGGGGCCAGAGGGAAGCCCTCCAGGATGGCCAAAGTCCCGGCAGCCGCCGCAAGCACGATGAAGAGCGCAGGCTAAGATTTGCCAGCCTTGCCCGCGCTGCAGCCCTGTCCACCGCCTCAGCCACCAGCGGGCGGGCGGGGCAGCTGCCGCTCGTCACGCGCCTTGCGGCGTTCCTTCGAGATGGCTGAGTCGGCGGCAAGTTTTATGGAGATGCACTCGGACAGGGCTTGCCAAACCATGAGCCCACGGGTGGACTGAATCCCCGTGAAGAGGAACTGCTCGTGGCTTCCGTTGCCGGGGGGTCGCGAGCACACCAGTTTGTCCGTGTATCTTTTTCTCGCACAACTGGGGCTGTCGGGCGATGAGCTCCATCGCGGCAGCGTTCGACTCATCGATCTGATCGTGCGACAGGGCGACCTGCACGATCCGCGAGAACTCGTGATGCACCGAGGCGATGGGGCCGTCCACTGGCACGGTCGACCCGAAAGCGGCCTTCCAGGCCAGGTGATATGCCCTCTGCAAGCCTCTGTGTTCCACCTGGTACGTCGGGACCCAATGGTACGTGGCGGGGCCATGCCCGCCCCGAACGGGAAGGCTCGTCGGCCGCGCAAGCTGGAGCCAGTCCCTGACATCCCGATGGCGTAGCCCCTGCACGTCGCACGCGGTCGCGAGGGTCCGAAGGTTTCCAAGCCTGGCGGCGGCCCTGCCATCGACCGCGGGGGGTGCGGCAGCGACAGCACCGTCACCTCCAGCGGCAGGCGGGGCAGCAACCAGCGCGGCGGGCCCCACAAGCCCTTCGCCCGCGGCGGGAGAGCTCGCCGCGCCAGCAGCGGCTGCCGGAGCGGGGGCGGGGGCGGCGGCAGCGGCACTGCCTGCGGCAGCAGGCGCAAACGCGGCGATGCGACCTCCCAAGGGAGCACCGTCTGCAGCCGCGGCGCAGTCAGGAAGGGCACCATGGCCTCCAGCACCACCAGGAGCAGCAGCGGCCGCAGAAGAGCCCGCACCATCGTCGCGCCACGGCTCGGTCATCTTCGCGGCTCCGCGGAAGCAGGCCCGCGCCACCTGGGAGACCGTCGACATCGCGGCGAGGTGAAAGTGCCGCAGTCCAGGTGCAGTGACGGCGCCCAACGGCGCAGCGGCGGGGCCCCCCTCCTTCCACCAGTTGCGGGTGCCGGCGCCCCCAGCATCGTACTCGTCGGCGTGCACGTCAAAGTCGGGCGCGAGGACAGCGTAGTGCTCCAGTCCGCGAAACGAGAACGCAACCACGACGCGCTGGTGAGCCAGGCGAGGCCCAGCGGCAGCCGGCAGGCCACACCGCGCGGCCTCCCAAGCCAGGGAAGGGCCGAGGCCCGCGGCCCGTCTCGCCCGAGGGGCAGGACGGGCAGGGCGAGGGGCAGGCGCACGCTGCCTCCCTCGCGCCCAGGCCGGTGGCCAGGCAGTCAACCAGCGGCACCAGGAGCTCGGCGGCCTCACCCAGCGCCGAGAGCGGGCCCGCCTTGAGCAGCGGGAGGAGCGCGGCCGCCGACGCGGCCGCCGCGGGCGCGCCTGGGACCGCGGGCTCGGAGGGCGGCAGCCACCAGCGAGCCAGGAGCAGCAAGAGATCGTTGCTTGCGAGCGGGAGGCCGATCCCGGAACCAGTGAAGCGCATCCGGGTGGAGGCCTCTCCCTCCAGCAAAAGACGTGAGCCGACGCGGTCGCGGCGATATGCGTGACCACGACGGCCTTCAGTTTCACCTGAGATGAGATGTGCAAACACGGCCATCATCAGCATCATCATCATCATCATCATCAACGTCGTCGTCGTCGTCAAGGTCGTCATCATCGTCATCGTCATCGTCATCGTCATAGTCATCGTCATCGTCATCGTCATCGTCATCGTCATCGTCGTCATCATCATCACCATGCCCACCATCATCATCCGCCTCCAGCTCTAAAACCAACTCTGGCTCCGACGGTCAACGACAGCTCAACAGGTATCGGGTGAGGCTCGAAGCGAATCTGCACCAAGGCCGAGGACGAGAGGCATGAGGACTCGGACGAGCATGAAAGCAAGAATGGAGCTGGAGTCGAATGCGGCCCTAAGGTGGGATAGGTCGAAACGGAGAAGGAGCAGGAGGACGGTGAGGAGAAGAATGAGGTCCTCCCTCCTCCTCCTCCTCCTCCTCCTCCTCCTCCTCCTCCTCCTCCTCCTCCTCCATCTTGCCTTGAAGTAACTGCTCCTCATCTCACCAGCAGCCGCAGCCGTGTTTATAGGGCGGGTTGGAAGTGTCGCCTGAGACTTCCTCATCGCTTTGCAAATGCAAACCGTTACACTGACGGAGGGCGGGTGGCCTTATACAGCATGCGGCTCGCGTCCTGGCGCCGTTTGAAGGCGAGTACCACCTACAAATCTGGATGGCGGCCCGTTTCAGAATGATACCCTCGCCTTGGCGCTACGCGCGCTGGCCGCAAAAGCCTGCATAGCCTACAAGGATGGAGGTCGTTTTTGTTTTTTTGACATGGGACTGTCACATGAGAGTTCCTCTGGAACTGTGATGCACATATACAGATGCATCCGTTACATGGATGGAGGGGGCCCTTCTCAACGTTGAGCTCCCGCTTGAGCCGCCCCCCACCAAAAAAAACATGATTGTAAAAGTGTGCAACACTTACACAGATGGAGCGCGGCTCTTCTTCAAAATGGGAGTATCGCTTGGCACTTCCGTAAGTCTGAGAACCGACCTAACCGCACTCCCAACAGCTAGAAGGACGCAGGACTGCTACTCGTCCAACAACGAAGACAGGCAAATGACAGGCCCCTGGGGCGCGCGTACCTCAAGGGGGGCTTCCTGGATTCCCGGTGCGGAAAGAATGGCATCATGAACGTATGAGGAACGGACTCGGGACGTGAGGGTGTAGTGAAGCATCGTTGCTGCGTCCTGGGATTCTGCTGGTCCTCCTCCCCCTCCTCCTCCTCCACCCCCCCTCTTCCCTTCCTGCTCATGTTGCTGCTCCTCCCTTCTCCATCCCTCCTCCTGGAAACAACTGATACATGCCTCACTACCAGGCATGTCGTCAGGGCGGGCCAGGCTTTCCGCTTGGGATTTCTTCGCCGCCTACGATATGGAGTCTTGCATCCCCCAACAGGTACACAGATGGAAGGCAAACCGTATTCGGAATGAGGCGCTCGTCGTGGTGCCGCGCACACCCGTCTTCAAATAACAGCTGCATAGCCAGTCATTTTCAAAATGGGGCTCTCGGCTGGGCGCCGCGCACACTTGTCACGAAAGTGACCAAAACATGCAGGGAAGGCAGGAGAATCCTTTTCAAAATGGGGTCCTTACCTTGGTGCCGCGAACAGTTTCCAAAAGTCGATGGCGAATCGTTTTCAAAATGGAGCTCTCACCTTGGCGCCGCGCACGCTCGTCTTGAAAGTGACCAACAGATGCAGGGAACGAATGCGAGTCCTTTCAAAATGGGGCCCTCGCCTGAGTGCAGCAGCTACATGGACGGATGGCAGCTCCTTTCCAAGATTGGGATCCAGCTTGCAGCTTCGTAGGACTTCAAGACCAGAAATCTGGACCTGCGGATGAAATGCACGGATAAAGGGCGGCTCGCTTTCAAAGCGGGGCGGACGCTGGGCACTTTTAAACGTTGTAGCCCCACCTTTGTCGCATCCCTTCTGGATGTAAGGAACGCACACCGGCTTACTAGTGCGACATGTCCTCCTCGGAGGCGCGCGTCCGACCCGAACACATAACTATACCCATCTTGTAGTAGATCGTTTCCCGAGCGATGTGGGCAGAAAGCGCCCGCGACGACGCACATACGATAAGATTTCTCGGTGCGCGCGTCGCCCCTGGGGGAGGGGGGGGAGGGCGACGCACATATAGTATAAGTATGCTGGGGTGACGCCCGCCGAAGGTAGAAGGACGCAGGATATTATTTCGAAACGGAGCTCCCGCCCGAATTGCGGGGCTCACGGGGCGCTCGTCGTTCAAAAGGGGGACACTCCTCGGAATGAAGAAGGACTGCTTCCGGGGACGAATGAGGGGGGGGCTTGGGAGGGTGGATTGGAATATCTTTGAGACATCTTAGGTCTGCTCTTCTGGCCCTTCTGCTCTTCTTCCTCCTCCTCTTACTCCTTCTCTTCCTCCTCCTCTTCCTCTTCCTCCTCCTCCTCTTCATCCTCCTCCTCCTCTTGATCCTCCTCATCCTCCTCCTCTTCCTCCTCATCCTCTTCCTCTTCCCCCTCCTCCTCCTCATCCTCCTCCTCCTCCTCTTCCTCCTCCTCCTCCTCCTCCTCCTCCTCCCCCATCCCTTCTCCCCAACGCGCGCGCGGGGGGGAGGAGAGGGAAGGGGGAGGGAAAAGGAAAAAGAGGGAGAGGGGGATGCGAAGGAGGAGGAGGTGGAGGGTGGAGTAGGAGGAGGAGGAGGACGACGACGACGACGACGACGACGGAGGTCCTCCTGGTCGGCCTTCTTTGCCTTGACGTGTATGTGCTTCGCTAAGTGCAACACAAGATGCAGGTCGTCGATGGCCTGGCCCAGAACAGGAGCGGGCCATGGGAGTAACGGAAGCAGCCAACCAGCCACGAGTCACGAATGCCAAGCGGCGCTGCTCCTGGACGAACTGCCCCGCGCTGAGGGCAGCGCGGCAAGCAAAAAGCGAGCATGAACTATCGAAGGTTCGCACGGATTTCCTGGCTCGGCGCTGGGCCCCTCCCCCTGGCGCGCGGAGCGCGCCACGGGCACCGCTGGAGGCGCCGCCCTGGGCAGCCCGGCGCCGACCCGAAGCCCGCGCAGAGCTCCGAAAGGGAATGTCCATGCCGTCGATCATGCTTCGAAGCGCGGCGGCAATGGCACGCCTCGCGGCGCAGCAGATCGCACAGCTGCCCAAGGTGCGATTGCACGCCTCGCGGCGCAGCGGATCGCACAGCTGCCCGAGGTGCGGGGCCAGGCTCTGCTCATCCAGGCGCGCGCGGCTGCGCGCAGTGCTCGATGTGGCGGAGTCCCGAGAAGAGGACGGATCCTGCACCTGCGGGTCCCCAGTCCTTCTGGCGACTCAGAGCAATCGCGCTGGAGGCTTCTCGTGGTTCGCCGCGTCCAATGACCTCTGCTCGGCCCTGGAAATGCCAAGAAACGTCTCCGGATGAGATACCGGCCCCAAGAAAGGATCGGTGGCGGCATCCGAGCCCTACCCCCACCAACCATCGATTCTCCTGAATCGATGGGAGGCGGGGGTAGGGTTCGGATTTCGCCACGTGTTCGACGAATTCCGAACCCTACGCCCGCCGCCCATCGGGTTGCCTGAGTCGCTGATCAGCCAGGGTAGGGTTCGGATTTCGCCGCGGACGGTAGCGGCGGACGGGGTCAGCAGAATGGAAGCCCTAAGCCGAAGGTAAAGAGGACACTACACACTATGCTATACCTCGTGACACTGGAGCATATGAGCATCACCAACGTTATCAAGCGGCCAGGCACAAACGGAGCCATGCTAGCAGTGGGCATAATTAGTTTGTTTGCACGGGGCCGATGGCGGTGCCGAATGACAGTCAATGATCGAAGCCTCCACCCTGGGTGAGAGCAGGAACAGATAGAGTGGGCAGCGAGGATGCCAAAATCTGCAATGGATGAGGGAAGAGAGGAGGAGGAGGAGGAAAAGGGGGAGGACGGAGAAGCACTGACTGAACTCCAAAATTAATAGGGTGTCTCACGTGCACTCTGCGGGGGTGTCCAGGCAGTTCCACGGCGATCCCTGCAATCGAGCGGATAAAACTGGGACATTTCCAGCATCGAACTATGACAGCGGAGTCATCCCACTCCACCACATTAGCTAAAGTAACAAATACAGTACGTAGTCAAGGGGAGGGTCGAGGGAGGGAGGAGCGGCAGAGAAGAAGAGGTGGACGACTGGCAAAATGCAAAGTCTTCTGTCAAGCTGAATGGGGGGGTGGTCATTACGCAAGTCGCCCCGGCAAGCTGGCAACCCAGTGGCACCGAGTAAACTGGGAAGCCAGGCAGAGAGTTGAGTCGTGCAAGGGCAGGGAGGGGGAGCTGTAATGCTATGTCGTTCCCATGGGGACCCATCGGCCACCTCGATGCCATCGAGCACAACGGAGCAACTCATCAGAGAGGAGAAGGAGGAGGAGGAGGAGGAGGAGGAGGAGGAGGAGGAGGCGGAGGAGGAGGAGGAGGGGAGAGACGGAGGAACACGGGCTGCTTCCATCCAGCGGGTTCAACATTGGCATGAAAAACCTTGTCGTGATTCGATGTGGTACTGGGCAAGCACACTGAGGTGCTAGCATTAGGTCGGGCATGTCCTCCTACAGGCGGATTTTGGAGGACGAATGAAACATAGCCAAACAAATACTCAACTAAATTCAAACAAAACTTCCAACTCCCCTTCTTCCCCTTCGGGGAGGGGCTTACCCCTCCCCCTAACCCCCTCCCCTGGACCTGGACGAGGGGGTCCGCGACCGATTGGAGAGTCCAAGGAGGCCTCGGCGACAAGGCAAAAATCCATGATTTTCCCGAGACTCCATTTTGGCCTCCAGGCGGTGGGGGGGGTTAATTGACCACCCCCCTTCTTCGATCGAACTCCTCCAAGATGGTCCCAAGATGGCCCCCAAGGCCGCCAAGAGTGCGCCGAGAGAGCCCCAAGAGGCGCCCAGGAGGTCCCAAGAGGCCCCCAAGAGGTCCCCAAGAGGCTCCCAAGAGACCTCCAAGAGGCCCCAAGAGACCCCCCCAAGGCGCCCAAGACGCTCCAAGAGGCCCCCGGCACTGCCAGGAACCCCCAAGACGCCCCAGGAATACTCCAAGGAGCTCCCAAGAGACATCGGAAGAGACTCCGAGAGGCATCCAAGAGGCCTCTGGCCTTTCTGATCGCCCTCCTCCTCCTCCTCCTCCTCCTCCTTTTTCTCCTCGTCCTCCTCCTCCTCCTCCGATCGATTCCTCCGCCATCCTCCCCCTTTTGGGGTACGACGGCTTCCCCAGCCCTTTATTCCATTGCATGCTTCTCCACATCCCTTATCAGGGCAACTCCCCTGGGCACCCTCTTGGATGGGTTGGTGGGGTTGCTGTTTTGTTCGCAACCGCTAGCGGACAACCGCGCGGCGTCGCCAGTCGAGTGAAGCCAGGCCTTCGTGGAGCAGGGCGACCAGCTGGCAAGCGTGAGTTGGTGGGGTTATTTTTTTGGGTCGGCGGCTCCCTGGCGAAGGTCAAGAAGCGGGTCAACGTCCGGGGCGACGAACGAAGATAATTGGCCGCAGTGGCGAATGCACATGCAAGGGACAAAATGACCCTCATTAGACGCCAGTGGCGTCGGCAGGTGACCGGCACAGACATCCCAGCGGGTGGGGACGCCACGGCGCGGCGACCGGCGGCGGAACGGGAAGGAGAAGTCGCCCCTTCGGCGCCAAGTTCCAGCCGAACCACAAACGGGGGCCAAGAGGTGGGGGGGAGCGGGGGGGGGGGGGGGGGGGGGGCAAAAGCGAGCGACAGCCAAGGCTCACAGCAGCACCACGAGTAAACGATGGTGCGGCAAAAGGGGGGGGCCTGACTCATCAAGACTCACTGAAGCAGAGGTGTAGCTGAAACCCGTCATAGCGCCAACCAGAGGAGGAAGACCACTGGTGTGCGCACACGAGGTTGAGCCACCTCCAACATGCAGCCAGCGCGTGCACATCGTATCCGACTCTCGCGGTTCGGGGGCAAAACGATGCAATGTACTGACGGGGGCTGGTAGCAGACTGATCTGCTAGGGAAGCGACCACGAACTGCAGAAGGCTGAACCACTCGATGCAGGACCACTCCCTGGCGAAGCCAGACATCGGGTGACACCGATGTATGGCTGACGGCCGCACCCGATCCACACCTGTCACGCAGCCCGGGCGGAAGCCCCATGCTGGGTCAGCGACGAACCAGGGCGAAACTCAGACAGGAGGGGGGCGCGGCCAGCCGCTGAGCACCGGTGTCACTGTGGGATAGCGGCCACCATCCTCTAAAGTACCACTGGCGTGCGTGCACAAGGCAGGCAGCCACCAGCCGGTAGCCAGCGCACTCACATCGCATCCGGCACACGCGGTCCGGGGGCACAACGATGCGATGTCCAGGCGGGGGCTGGGGCTGGGGCTGCGCCAAGAACGAACTGGACCGCAGAAGGCTGAACCACTCGATGCGGGCCGCTCACTCGACGAGGCCGGCCACCACGTGTATGGTGGCCAACCACCCCCACTCAACACCTGCCACGTTGCCCATGCGGAAGACGGATGCGTCCGAAGCCGGGGCATGCGGATGGCTGGCAGCTGCCGAGCTGCTGGGCTGTACCATTCGCTGGCGGCGTGCTGACTTGCCAGAGCTGGGTCGGCACTGATGTCCCCAGGGCAGGTCTCAGGGCGGACGCTCTTCAACGGTCGATGCAAACTACACTGTTGAAAGGGGGAAGCGCAGCCAAAAGCCGCAGAGACATGTGAATGAGAGGAGGGGGGCGAAGCCAAAAGCCGCAGGACATAGATAATGACGCCCTGGGCCTCCACGCACGGAACTTCTTGACCGCGGGCGCGCTGACGAGCCAAGGCGCCCTTGTAGAACAACGCTGAATCGACAACGAGGGAGCAAGGCCCCCTGGGCCGGTCTCAGGGCGAGCGCGCATCTGCGGCCGCGGCAATCTTCGCGCGGGCGGGGGGCGCAGCCAAAAGCCGCAGAGATCTTGCGAATGAATGAGGAGGCGGAGGAGGAGGAGGAGGAGGAGGAGAAGGAGGAGGCGCCGACAAAGCCCAGGATCCGGGGACAGGGCCACTCGATGCGGGGCAGGGGGGCGCAACCAAAAACCGCTGTCACTAATGTATTGAAGGAGGAGGAGGGTTGGACGGCCCTCAGGAGCAGCGCTGACTGCTCGGAGTCCGCTCGTCCATAGACGCCCGGCGGTCTCTGAGGTGAGGCACCCGTCGCTGCAAGGGGGGGTCTGGCGGCCTGCCCCCTTGGAGGGCGGCCAGCGCCGTCCAATTCTATGGACACGTGTTGACTCTCTCCAGATACCTCGTCAACGGACGCCTCTAGGTGCCCTACGTGAGCCTCGTTCTCGGCCTCTGGGCTCTGGGGGCTGGGTGGAACCTGCAGCTGGGCCTCCGTGCCTCACACGGGGCACCCTTCACAGCACCTCTTGTCCAACGGTCCATCGTTGTTCCTCATCGGCCTCCTGCAGGGGGGGGCGCAGCCAAAAGCCGCAGAAAACAAATACACGGCGGGGGGGTGGGAGATGCAGGGGCATCCCAGCAGTCCGCCGGCACATGTGGACCACGCTGGAGAGGGCGGTGCCACCGTCGCCGCTGACCGACAGAAACGGGATGCAAGAGTACCAGAGCCACAGAGGGCGGACCCTGGACCAGCGGCGGCCCCCCAGGAAGCCCGGCGCCAAGATGCAAGCCACAGGAGAGCCCGCGGGACACGCAGCCCGCGCCCACTGCATTCGCTGAGTCCGCACTTCTGCACAATACCTCATGTCAAACGGTCCACCGTTGTTCCCCTCGGCCTCCCACAGG